ACAAATGAGGCATCTCAATAACCAGGGCATCACTTAAAAGATTATGTCTTGTAGACAATGGGAAAAAAACTGGGTTTTACTGAGAAATTGAGAGCATTTCATTAAATGAGTTTGTACTTGATATAAGCAAACAACCACCATTATAAATCAGGTCTTGCAGGGGAATTAAACTTCTTTCTCTGTAGGTTATAGCGTACTTTTCTTGCTCCAGCTCCCTTAATTTCRTAAGAAAACTCGGAAGACAAATATGGTGCACCTGCTTGACCACTCTGAAAAAAGAAAACAATTTTAACTGATGAGAGATGCCACATTTCATRTCATTTGCATTTTCAGGCCTACAGCAGCTGTGTCTTTTTGGCAAGAAGTGTATACCTTTAATAAAAGTGGTGCTGGTATTTCCAGGCTCCCTTTGAGTAGTGTATTCACTCTTTGAAGTTGAGTGAGAGGGACTGGAGTAATGATGTAGAAAAGTTGATTGACAGGGTCAATATTTCGCAGTATTCCTAAAGTAAAACAATTTCAGAGTTGATAAACTAATGATCAAGTTACAGTATCTGTATCTGGTATATAATATGTATCTTAGTTCTTTAGTTATAAATTTGATAGATTTAGATATTGTATTTTATAGCTTTATTGTGGTCAGGACTCGATCCCATTGAGAACAGATGCAACTGATGGGATCATCCTGAGCTTTATAATAAAGCTTCATTCATTCAATCTTGACATGTATTGTATATAATACCTAATCCAACGCATTCAGCAATGGGGGTTTCTTGGATAAACCTGGGAAGACCAGATTTGCTGTCATGTTCATCTAAAACCTGTTGAAATTAGAAAAATATTAATTAGGCCAATGAATTTCATTCAATTTCTTGAGTGTAAATCAAGCAACGAATTCTTTAAACCACCAGTATGATTTGCCAAACAGTCTAGTTATATTGATATTCCACATTATTCAAAACCTTTCTAAATACTTACAGCAGAAGGACAAACTGCAAGACCTACAATACTYGCATTTAGGGAAACAAGCAGCTGACTTCTTGGAACCTATTGAATGACACAGAA